ATATCCTCTTATAAACAAGCCCTCTGCTGATCTAGTGAGGTATTAAATATCCCCCTTATAAACAAGCCCTCTCTGTTGATCTAGTGAGGTATTAAATATCCCCCTTATAAACAAGCCCTCTGCTGATCTAGTGAGGTATTAAATATCCTCTTATAAACAAGCCCTCTGCAGATCTAGTGAGGTATTAAATATCCTCTTATAAACAAGCCCTCTCTGCTGATCTAGTGAGGTATTTAATATCCTCTTATAAACAAGCCCTCTCTGCTGATCTAGTGAGGTATTAAATATCCTCTTATAAACAAGCCCTCTGCTGATCTAGTGAGGTATTAAATATCCTCTTATAAACAAGCCCTCTGCTGATCTAGTGAGGTATTAAATATCCCCCTTATAAACAAGCCCTCTCTGCTGATCTAGTGAGGTATTTAATATCCTCTTATAAACAAGCCCTCTCTGCTGATCTAGTGAGGTATTAAATATCCTCTTATAAACAAGCCCTCTCTGCTGATCTAGTGAGGTATTAAATATCCCCCTTATAAACAAGCCCTCTCTGTTGATCTAGTGAGGTATTAAATATCCTCTTATAAACAAGCCCTCTGCTGATCTAGTGAGGTATTAAATATCCCCCTTATAAACAAGCCCTCTCTGTTGATCTAGTGAGGTATTAAATATCCTCTTATAAACAAGCCCTCTGCTGATCTAGTGAGGTATTAAATATCCCCCTTATAAACAAGCCCTCTCTGCTGATCTAGTGAGGTATTAAATATCCTCTTATAAACAAGCCCTCTCTGCTGATCTAGTGAGGTATTAAATATCCTCTTATAAACAAGCCCTCTGCTGATCTAGTGAGGTATTAAATATCCTCTTATAAACAAGCCCTCTGCTGATCTAGTGAGGTATTAAATATCCTCTTATAAACAAGCCCTCTCTGCTGATCTAGTGAGGTATTAAATATCCTCTTATAAACAAGCCCTCTCTGCTGATCTAGTGAGGTATTAAATATCCCCCTTATAAACAAGCCCTCTCTGTTGATCTAGTGAGGTATTAAATATCCTATTATAAACAAGCCCTCTGCTGATCTAGTGAGGTATTAAATATCCTCTTATAAACAAGCCCTCTCTGTTGATCTAGTGAGGTATTAAATATCCTCTTATAAACAAGCCCTCTCTGCTGATCTAGTGAGGTATTAAATATCCTCTTATAAACAAGCCCTCTGCTGATCTAGTGAGGTATTAAATATCCTCTTATAAACAAGCCCTCTCTGCTGATCTAGTGAGGTATTAAATATCCCCCTTATAAACAAGCCCTCTCTGCTGATCTAGTGAGGTATTAAATATCCCCCTTATAAACAAGCCCTTTCTGTTGATCTAGTGAGGTATTAAATATCCCCCTTATAAACAAGCCCTCTGCTGATCTAGTGAGGTATTAAATATCCTCTTATAAACAAGCCCTCTCTGCTGATCTAGTGAGGTATTAAATATCCTCTTACAAACAAGCCCTCTCTGCTGATCTAGTGAGGTATTAAATATCCCCCTTATAAACAAGCCCTCTGCTGATCTAGTGAGGTATTAAATATCCTCTTATAAACAAGCCCTCTCTGCTGATCTAGTGAGGTATTAAATATCCTATTATAAACAAGCCCTCTCTGCCTTGAGAGAGAGCTTCCCCTCAATCCAAATCCAACACACACACACACACACACACACGGCTCTCTCCCCCTCAATCCAGAAACATGTGTCCGTCTGCTCTTTCCCAGCCACATCTCCGTTACGTTGCTCCCGTCCCATCTTTGTCAAACCAATACCAGTTGGCCCCCCAGCACCCTTCAACTGTCTGCCTGGTCCCTTTCCTGTGTAATTATCCTCTCCCTCCTCTCTGGGCTGCAACATGCAGAGAATAGAGCTGCCTCGTCTTACAGCCTCTCCTCTCCCTATCCGTCTTGTCATGTGGAGGTTGTGTGTGTGTGTGACTGTGTGTGTGTGTGTGTGTGTGACTGTGTGTGTGTGTGTGTGTGTGTGTGTGACTGTGTGTGTGTGTGTGACTGTGTGTTTGACTGTGTGTGTGTGTGTGTGACTGTGTGTGTGTGTGTGTGTGTGTGGGGGGGGTACCTCTACAGATACTGGACTGGATTTAGGAGGGGGGGGGGGGGGGGGGGGGGGGGGCTTGTGAAGTCCAAATGAATGGTGAGGGCTGTAGACATACGTCTTCTCCTCTGTAATAACAGGGCATTGGGTGGTCCCACTTGGACCCCGTTTGGGATTAAAGAGGGTCGACGAGGAGATACCGCTTCATAGTGTACATACATACACATGTATGCCTTCTGATTAGGTAGACGTCTAGGTTCAAAGACAGTCTCCAGAAGAACATGTAGTCCAGGAAATTGGGCCGATGTCATATAACCGTAACATATAGTGCATGTAGCAATCTTAATAGTACTATATCTTGTCAAGAGATTTAGATCTCTTAGTTTCACAGCTAAAGTATTAGGCCGACAGTCACAGGGACCCTGGTTTGAGTCGTGGTAGTGGGGGTTTACCTCCTAATGCGGCACATTGGTGTCAGGGCCAATGAAAGCGCCCCTAATTCGCCATGATAAAATAATCTTTGATTTTTTGGGGAGGTTAAATATTCAGAGCAGTTGTTATCATTGAATGAAATAATCGACTCAGATAATTGCTAAAAATTGCTGTAAAACATATTTATGCTGAACAAAAATATGAACGCAACATGCAACAATTTCAAAGATTTTGTATGAGTTACAGTTCATTTAAGGAAATCAGTCAATTGAAATAAATTCATTAGGCCCTAATCTATGGATTTCACATGACTGGACAGGGGCCCACTCACTGGGGAGCCAGGCCTAGCCAATCAGAATGAGTTTTCCCCCACAAAATGGCTTTATTACAGACAGAAATAGTCCTCAACACCCCCCCCCACCCCCCCTCAGACGATCCCACAGGTGAAGAAGCCGGATGTGGAGGTCCTGGGCTGGCGCGGTTACACGTGGTCTGCGGGTTGTGGACGTACTGCCAAATTCTCTAAAACTACGTTGGATGCAGCTTATGGTAGAGAAATTAACATTACATTATCTGGCAACAGCTCTGGTGGACATTCATGCAGTCAGCATGCCAATTGCAAGCTCCCTCAAATTTGAGACATTGTGTTGTGTGACAAAACCACACATTTTAAAGTGGCCTTTTACTGTCCCCAGCACAAGGTGAACCTGTGTAATGATCATGCTGTTTAATCAGCTTCTTGATATGCCACACCTGTCAGGTGGATGGATTATCTTGGTAAAGGAAAAATGCTCACTAACAGGGATGTAAACAAATTTGTGCACAAAATGTAAGAGAAAAAAGCTTTTTGTGCATATGGAACATTCCTGCGATTTTTTTTTTTTCAGATCATGAAACATAGGACCAACACTTTACATGTTGCGTTTATATTTTTGTTCAGTGTATTTCAGCGTCTTGTTACCTGGCACCTGCGCTGCCTATGTGCGGTCCTTTAAAATGTGTACTCTGCTGCCACCTGTTGGATAGTAGTAGGTACTTTAAACAATCATCCTGAGATTTCCAATTTCTTGATGCCCAGATTGAATAACTATCAAACGAATTATTTACACATAATAACGCAAACTCCGTTTAACCAATCAAGTAGTATGCTAGCCTATATTTCTGCTGTTACTCCCAACCCACAACCCATCCGGATTCCAAAAGTCCCCAGCAGGCCAAGAAAGAAACAATGCAGTTAGTGACATCACTGGGCAACAGGTAAAGTCGCTTTTACATTCCTGAGGGTGAGAAACAAATGCGGTGTTTGAATTCAGAAGAAGTGGTTTGTCAGGTGCACCGAATGCTATTTTTGTTACGTGCAAATGTTGAGTTGAAATATAATCCTCCTTTGAACGCGCTGTGTGGTTTGGTCGTTGGAGACCTACAGCGGAGAGAACTCTCTCTGTTGGATTGAACACCTATTCAGCTGTCATGTCGCGGCACAGGAGACAGGTAGATAAAACTATTGTTCTTATAGGAATCCACCTGCCTGTCAACAGGATGTTTGAGTATCGGTTTAGCCTACTTATTTATTAACTATACATGAACAAATAATCGTCATACGTTTTTATTCATTGCTAATTGGGTATGCATTTGCTGTGGTCTTTCACATTGGTGGGTAATTAATTGATTCATTTCGTAGCCATTTCATGGATTGGAAGAAATAGATGAATGGGCAGTTGAATATGATGCTGTGATTTACCTTAATTGCATAGGCTACGTTTTCAAATATTGCATAATTCCACTTTTTATTTGCATAGCATACCCAGGCTTAGGCTAACACATTGACATAGGTGGCCCCTGCTCTTTCTCTCAACGTGCCACAATACACATGGTCATATACAGTTGAAGTCGGAAGTTTACATACATCTTAGCCAAACTCCGTTTTTCCCCAATTCCTGACATTTAATCCTAGTAAAAATTGCCTGTTTTAGGTCAGTTAGGATCACCACTTTATTTTAAGAATGTGAAATGTCAGAAGTAGAGAGAATGATTTCTTTCAGCTTTTATTTATTTCATTACATTCCCAGTGGGTCAGAAGTTTACATACACTACAAGTTTACATGTAGTCCCATGTAGCTCAGTTGGTAGAGCATGGCGCTTGCAACGCCAGGGTTGTGGGTTCGTTTCCCACGGGGGGCCAGTATGAAAATGTATGCACTCACTAACTGTAAGTCGCTCTGGATAAGAGCGTCTGCTAAATGACTAAAATTATTATTTTTTTGGTAGCATTGCATTAAATTGTTTAACTTGGGTCAAAGGTTTCGGGTAGCCTTCCACAAGTTTCCCTCAATAAGTTGGGTGAATTTTGGCCCATTCCTCCTGACAGAGCTGGTGTAACTAGTTTGGGAACCGCAAGTCTAATTGCTGTCTTGGAGTCATCTAATTAAAGAAGATGAAGAAGATGATGTGCATACTCACCGTGCTGTGTGGTCCTGTGTTCTAATCATGTTTCAGGCCAGCATCGAACTCCTGGAGCTGATGGGAGTGGTGAAGGAAAACGGGCACCCTTCCGATAGTCCTGAGACATCACCACTACTTCCCACAGTGGTAAGAGATGACTGATGAAACGCAGGCCTGTTTCACTGGGTTACTGTATGGAACCCGGCTTTACAGTGCATTGCTGGTTGTTGTATATACTCTATCGACAGTATACAGTGCATTCGGAAAGTATTCAGGGTCCCTTGACTTTTTCCACATTCTGTTACGTTACAGCCTTATTCTAAAATTGATTAAATTGTTTTTTTTCCCCCTCATCATTCTACCCACAATACCCCATAAAGCAAAAACTGGTTTTTAGAAATGTTAGCAAATGTATTAAGAATAAAAATAATGAAATATTACATTTACATAAGTATTCAGATCCTTTACTCAGTACTTTGTTGAAGCACCTTTGGCAGCGATTCTTCGGTATGACGCTACAAGCTTGGCACACCTGTATTTGGGGAGTTTCTCCCATTCTTCTCTGCAGATCCTCTCAAGCTCTCTCAGGTTGGATGAGGAGCGTTGCTGCACAGCTATTTTCAGGTCTCTCCAGAGATTTTTGATCGGGGTTCAAGTCTGGGCTCTGGCTGGGCTACTCAAGGACATTCAGAGACTTGTCTCGAAGCCACTCCTGCGTTGTCTTGGCTGTGTGCTTAGGGTTGTTGTCCTGTTGGAAGGTGAACAGTCACCCAAGTCTGAGGTCCTGAGCACTCTGGAGAAGGTTTTTTATCAGGGATCACTCTGTACTTTGCTCCGTTCATCTTTGCCTCGATCCTGACTAGTCTTCCAGTCCCTGCCGCTGAAAAACATCCCCACAGCATGATGCTGCCACCACCATGCTTCACCATAGGGATGGTGCCAGGTTTTCTCCAGACATGACACTTGGCATTCAAACCAAAGAGTTCAGTCTTGGTTTCATCAGACCAGAGAATCTTGTTTCTCATGGTCTGAGAGTCCTTTAGGTGAATTTTGGCAAACTCCAAGCAGGCTATCATAAAGGCCTGATTGGTGGAGTGCTGCAGAGATGGTTGTCCTTCTGGAAGGTTCTCCCATCTCCACAGAGGAACTCTGGAGCTATATCAGAGTGACCATCGGGTCCTTGGAAACCTCCCTGTCCAAGGCCCTTCTCCCCTGATTGCTCAGTTTGGCCGGACGGCCAGCTCTAGGAAGAGTCTTGGTGGTTCCAAACTTCTTCCATTTAAGAATGATGGAGGCCACTGTGTTCTTGGGGACCTTCAATGCTGCAGAACTTTTTTGGTACCCTTCCCCAGATGTGTGCCTCGACACAATCCTGTCTCGGAGCTCTACGGACAATTCCTTCAACCTCATTGCTTGGTTTTTGCTCTGACATGCACTGTCAACTGTGGGACCTTATATAGACAGGTGTGTGCCTTTCCAAATCATGTTCAGTCAATTGAATATACCACAGTTGGACTCCAATCAAGTTGTAGAAACATTTCAAGGATGATCAATGGAAACAGGATGCACCTGAGCTCAATTTCGAGTCTCATAGCAAAGGGTCTGAAATCTTATGTAAATGTGATATTTCAGTTTTTTATATTTTTATATACATTTGCTAAAATTTCGAAAAACCTGTTTAGAATAAGGCTGTAACATAAAAAAAAGTGGAAAAAGGGAAGGGGTCTGAATACTTTCCGAATGCGCTGCATGTAATCATCATGTCACAGATTCAGTTATTGTTTTGTTTAATCGTCATGTTTAGTATTAGATCCATCAAATCACTGAAGTCTACACTATCTTGTTCATCCTTCCTCCTCAGCATACTCCACTATCGTACGACTATGTCCTGGTCGCTAAGACAGTGGATGATCCGGAGAAAGATACCTTCAAGATGCAAGAGGCCTTCATCGAGAAACTAAAGATGAAGAACTTGAAGATAACAGTGAGTTATGTTACCAGTTTAACAAGCTGTAGAGTTATGTTACCAGTTTTAACAAGCTGTAGAGTTATATTACCAGTTTTAACAAGCTGTAGAGTTATGTTACCAGTTTAACAAGCTGTAGAGTTATATTACCAGTTTTAACAAGCTGTAGAGTTATGTTACCAGTTTAACAAGCTGTAGAGTTATATTACCAGTTTTAACAAGCTGTAGAGTTATGTTACCAGTTTAACAAGCTATAGATAGATACCTTCAAGATGCAAGAGGCCTTCATCGAGAAACTAAAGATGAAGAACTTGAAGATAACAGTGAGTTATGTTACCAGTTTAACAAGCTGTAGAGTTATGTTACCAGTTTTAACAAGCTGTAGAGTTATATTACCAGTTTTAACAAGCTGTAGAGTTATATTACCAGTTTTAACAAGCTGTAGAGTTATGTTACCAGTTTAACAAGCTGTAGATAGATACCTTCAAGATGCAAGAGGCCTTCATCGAGAAACTAAAGATGAAGAACTTGAAGATAACAGTGAGTTATGTTACCAGTTTAACAAGCTGTAGAGTTATATTACCAGTTTAACAAGCTGTCGAGTTATGTTACCAGTTTAACAAGGTGTAGAGTTATATGACCAGTTTAACAAGCTGTAGGCCTTTTCACACTGCATGTTCTTAGGCCAAGGATAGTTTAGCCTCCTTTTGTTGTTCTTGTAGAATACATATTATCTTTATTAGAGGTTTTAAAACCAAACGTAAGTATAATCATGTCTCTGTGGGCTTGAAACTAAGATGAGTTTACCTGCTCAGGATTTCAAAGTCTATTGTCATAGCTTTGTTACAAGGCATTATATAGGCTAAGGCCTCTATTTTAACAAATCTAACACACTGGTCAATCTAAGCACAGTGGGTAGCGCTAGGTTCAGGGGTGTGTCTGAAATATTTTCGCTATTTTCACTATCACAATTATCGTGGGGCACTTGCTTAGCGTTGGCGCGAAAGGGCCGTGTTTTGATGAATAAACAAGTTGTGGGTGTGTCGAGGCTTGGCCCCTCACTGGCCAATCAGAACGTGCTCCATTGGTGAAATATGTGGTTGCTTCAAGTTGAGTATTTATTATTATGTAATTGATGTATTACATTGGAATCAACTCAAATTCCAATCTTAGTCAGTTATAGTTTGTTAAATGGCTTACAGAAACGAAATAACAAAATGACCTATCTTTGCTAAAATACTTCAACTTGAACACATTTGCAGTCCACATATTTCTAACTAATTGCATGGCTTCAGTAGCATTCACACTGATATAGGGGCTAGGCCTACTGTAAATTACATTATGGCTGAGCATGGACATGCCAAACATTGTCAATAAGCAAGACTAAATTCATTATTGATAAGGCCCTAAAAAGATAACAAATTCTAAACAAAACGAAACAACTAGTTTAAAATAAGCTATGTCACACTTACAGGCGCCATCATTTCACTCCTTGGGCATATAATATTAAAACAATGCAGACTAGGGAGGGTTTTACGCACGTCCAAACTTTTCACAGTAGCTGGACAAAGATCCAATATAAAGAGTAAGGGAGAATGTCCTCTCACCGTTATACTGTTTTATGAACATAATCGAAACCATCTTACAGATCAGATCGCATTCAAACATCAGCAGAAGTTGCAATGCATGCTCGCCACAGACGTTGTAACCATAAAAGCAGGAAGGTGAATCCTTCTAATAACGTTGCTTGTTTTTTTCGATTGATTTTACTACAACTAATCCGTTTTTTTTTAAACAACCACAACAATAAATACATGTAAAATGTAATGATGTCATAAAACCTCCAGGATAAAAAAGACATTGTTGTTGAACCAGCCTTCATTATAGTAGACCTGAGGGAGGGGCTTGTTGTTGAACCAGCCTTCATTATAGTAGACCTGAGGGAGGGCTTGGGTTGTTGTTGAACCAGCCTTCATTATAGTAGACCTGAGGGAGGGCTTGTTGTTGAACCAGCCTTCATTATAGTAGACCTGAGGGAGGGCTTGGGTTGTTGTTGAACCAGCCTTCATTATAGTAGACCTGAGGGAGGGCTTGGGTTGTTGTTGAACCAGCCTTCATTATAGTAGACCTGAGGGAGGGCTTGTTGTTGAACCAGCCTTCATTATAGTAGACCTGAGGGAGGGCTTGGGTTGTTGTTGAACCAGCCTTCATTATAGTAGACCTGAGGGAGGGCTTGGGTTGTTGTTGAACCAGCCTTCATTATAGTAGACCTGAGGGAGGGCTTGGGTTGTTGTTGAACCAGCCTTCATTATAGTAGACCTGAGGGAGGGCTTGGGTTGTTGTTGAACCAGCCTTCATTATAGTAGACCTGAGGGAGGGCTTGTTGTTGAACCAGCCTTCATTATAGTAGACCTGAGGGAGGGCTTGGTTGTTGTTGAACCAGCCTTCATTATAGTAGACCTGAGGGAGGGCTTGGGTTGTTGTTGAACCAGCCTTCATTATAGTAGACCTGAGGGAGGGCTTGGGTTTTTGTTGAACCAGCCTTCATTATAGTAGACCTGAGGGGTTTTGAACATATGAAACTGAAAACAAGCAATTGTTACAGGTTACAGATAACTTCTAAATACGAGGTTCACTGGTATTCGCCGAGGTTCTCATCTCTCGTTTCATGATGGCCATGGAAACAGCCTACCTCATGAAGGGAGTTTTATAAATTGATTGAAAATTGATTTTACGCACGTCCAAAATGGGACCTGCTTGGCTAAAATAATGTGGGCCTGCCTACAATACATAGATAAAAAGGGAATGTCAGCTCACTGTTTTACTCCTCTCAAACTTGATATTTTAGTAAAGCTTTGGTGATAAATATTTATTTCCAAGCGGTCTCAGCAGCCAAACCGTTTATCGACAGTCTTGACTACTTCGCGATTGCATTGAGCAGGACAAAAAAAAAAAGCCTTAATTGAGAGGAGGGGAGGCTATGCTTGGTTTTTAACCAAATAAAATGAAATGGGGAAAAAACATTAGTCTTTTATGTTTCTAAATACGAAGTATACAGGCACCAAAAGCACATTAGGCTACTCTTGTTCCATGTGTATATGGGCAGTGCGCGTCACGGCTGGATAGGCTGCGTTTTCGCTGTCAAAATTCATGACGTAACCTACTGCGTTACAGCTAAAACCAAATATCCATATCAGCGGTACCTGAAATTAGCACTTTGGATCATGTTTCTAAGGACACACCTAAAATATTTCCAACCCTACCATCTGAGCACAAGCAAAGTAACATGACGAAATTGAAAACGAACCTGTGTTTAACATTAGCGCCAGCCGAAAACAGAGCCCTCATACATGCTATACAAGTACTAAAGCATTATACCTGCAGCATTTAAGTAGTAGTTTAACAAGTACTAAAGCATTATACCTGCAGCATTTAAGTAGTAGTTTAACAAGTACTAAAGCATTATACCTGCAGCATTTAAGTAGTAGTTTAACAAGTACTAAATAATTATACCTGCAGGATTTAAGTAGTAGTTTAACAAGTACTAAATAATTATACCTGCAGGATTTAAGTAGTAGTTTAACAAGTACTAAAGCATTATACCTGCAGGATCTAAGTAGTACTTTAACAAGTACTACCCAATTGTGCTATCTCTAGATGAGTTTGACAAAAAAATACTGTAATTGTATTGCTTGTATTTCTGTGTTATTAATATTGCTTGTATTTCTGTGTTAATAATATTGAGTTTGACAAAAAAAATACTCTAATAATATTGCTTGTATTTCTGTGTTATTAATATTGCTTGTATTTCTGTGTTAATAATATTGAGTTTGACAAAAAAAAAAAATCTGTAATAATATTGCTTGTATTTCTGTGTTATTAATATTGCTTGTATTTCTGTGTTATTAATATTGCTTGTATTTCTGGTGTTAGAAAATTGTAGACGACACTGTGGTCTTTTATGGGATCCAAGCCCCAAAGGAAGTCTTTGAGAAGTACATGTATCTACTGAAGGTGTCTGATGTGTGCAACTGGAGCGAAACAGCAAGGAACTGTCCCTCTTTCCACCAGGTAAGGCATGCACACACATTTTTACATTTTTCATACATAACCCCCCCCCCCCGTGGGAAACAAACTCACAACCCTGGCGTTGCAAGCGCCATGCTCTACCAACTGAGCTACAGGGGGACACGCATGCAGAGACACACACACTCACACGGTCTGATGACTCAACGTATTAGCATGACAAACATTCTAAAAAGGAATCATCCCATGTACATAAACAGATACTCAGTCTTGTCAGCCATCTTTAAAATATCTTCTTTATTTCAGGATCCGGATTGTTCACTATATGCTGAATCATGTCTTCCTCGATACAGGAGGTGAGTAGTGCTCTTCCCTCACCCACGCCAATCCTCTCTCTCTCTCTCTCTCTCTCTCTCTCTCTCTCTCTCTCTCTCTCTCTCTCTGTCTCTGTCTCTGTCTCTCTCTCTCTCTATCTGTCTCTCTCTATCTGTCTCTCTCTCTTTCTCTTTCTCTATCTCTATCTCTATCTCTATCTCTATCTCTATCTCTATCTCTATCTCTATCTCTCTCTCTCTCTCTCTCTCTCTCTCTCTCTCTCTCTCTCTCTCTCTCTCTCTCTCTCTCTCTCTCTCTCTCTTTCTCTCTCTCACACGTTACACTGGACCCTTCCTAATGTTCCCCTCCTCCTTCTCATCTGTCCATTCTTACAGAGAACCTGTGGGAACTCATGAAGAAGAAAGTGTTTGAAGCAAAGTTCTGCCTGCACGAGGTAAAGACAGTAGTCTGCTGCTCTGGTCAAAAGTAGTGCACAATGTAGGGAATAGGGTGCCATTTGGGATACAACCTGTGTCTCTATGGTGTGTGTGGATCTCTTCCTGACGCTGAACAGCATGGTTCAGGTAGACAGTAGACACACCCATGAGGAAATGGGGTCATGTAGTGTCCATAGATAGAAAAGTACCTGGATTTACTGCCAGAATGAGAGTCCATTTATATGAAATGTTATGTACTGTAGTATAGCATTGTATAACAGAGTTTAATCAAAGGGTATGATAAGTAAATAGACAATGTGCCTGGCTGGCAGTGAAATGTTTCTACAGTATCTTTCATTACAAATGTCATCCCGTGTCCCATTTTACCTTTACGTCATTTAGCAGACGCTCTTAGTAGATGCGAGCGGAGGAGCACACAGACAACTTATTGTGAAAAGGGAAAGCATACCTGTGAGGGAGAGTCTACCCTACACCCTGTACCCTACACCCTATACCCTACACCCTGTACCCTACACCCTGTACCCTACACCCTATACCCTACACCCTGTACCCTACACCCTATACCCTACACCCTGTACCCTACACCCTATACCCTACCAAACCCTAACCCTACACCCTGTAACCCTACACCCTATACCCTACCGACCCTACACCCTACACCCTACCAACCCTATACCACTAACCCTGTACCCTACACCTATACCCTACACCATATACCCTATCACCCTATACCCTACACCAACCCTGTCCAACCCATAACACCCATAACCCTACACCCTATAAACCCTACAACCTATACCCTTACCCTACTTCCCTATCACCCTGACCCTACACCCTATCACCCTACACCATATACCCTATAACCTATACCCTAACCACCCTAACCCTAACCTATACCCTATACCCTACTACCCTATTACCCTATACCCTCACCCTAACCCTTACCCTATACCCTATACCCTATACCCTATACCCTACACCCTATACCCTGTACCCTATTCCCTGTACCCTACACCCTAACCCTGTACCCTATACCCTGTACCCTACACCCTATACCCTGTACCCTATTCCCTACACCCTATTCCCTATACCCTGTACCCTATTCCCTATTCCCTTTACCCTACACCCTATACCCTATACCCTATTCCCTATACCCTATTCCCTGTACCCTACACCCTATACCCTTTACCCTATTCCCTACACCCTATGCCCTATACCCTACACCCTATACCCTGTACCCTAAACCCTATACCCTGTACCCTACACCCTATTCCCTGTACCCTACACCCTATATAGTGTCTCTGGTCAATATAGGGAATAGGGTGCCATTTTGGATGCACACTATACACTACCCAAGTGTCTGGGTTTATCTGATTGAAAATACGTTTCTGTGTCAAAGTGATGTGAGAGAATGGCTGCCGTAAAGACTCCTAAAGGTCAAAGTGATGTGAGTGAATGGCTGCCATAAAGACCCCTAAAGGTCAAAGTGATGTGAGTGAATGGCTGCCATAAAGACTCCTAAAGGTCAAAGTGATGTGAGTGAATGGCTGCCGTAAAGACTCCTAAAGGTCAAAGTGATGTGAGTGAATGGCTGCCGTAAAGACTCCTAAAGGTCAAAGTGATGTGAATGAATGGCTGCCATAAAGACTCCTAAAGGTCAAAGTGATGTGAGTGAATGGCTGCCATAAAGACTCCTAAAGGTCAAAGTGATGTGAGTGAATGGCTGCCATAAAGACTCCTAAAGGTCAAAGCGATGTGAGTGAATGGCTGCCGTAAAGACTCCTAAAGGTCAAAGTGATGTCATTGTTTTCCTCTGTTTCTCTGAGAGACTACTGAGCCACCCTCAGAGTTAAACATAGTGAGGTGATTATTTTCTGTCTGACGGCACCTCCTCTGTTCTTGTTAACTGACATTTGCATGAATGCGTGCACGCACACACACTCAACACACACACTCACACACACACACACTGAGTATCTGTTTGTCCAAGTGATGATTCATTTTTGAAGATGTTAAAACATTTCTCATGCTAATACATTGAGTCATCTGTGTGTGTGTGTGTGTGTGTGTGTGTGTGTGTGTGTGTGTATATGTATGCTCCAGTCCCTGACTCTGTGCTTGTGCTTTCAGAGGAAGAATCAGAAGGAACTGAGGAAGAGTTGGGCCAGATGGACTGCCTGTCTCCAGGGCCAACCCATCAGTGATGTTAGGTTAGTTAGGCTCACCACCCGTGTTTCTGCCTGTCTCCAGGGCCAACCCATCAGGGATGTTAGGTTAGTTAGGCTCACCACCCGTGTTCTGCCTGTCTCCAGGGCCAACCCATCAGTGATGTTAGGTTAGTTAGGCTCACCACCCGTGTTTCTGCCTGTCTCCAGGGCCAACCCATCAGTGATAGGTTAGTTAGGCTCACCACCCGTGTTTCTGCCTGTCTCCAGGGCCAACCCATCAGTGATGTTAGGTTAGTTAGGCTCACCACCCGTGTTCTGCCTGTCTCCAGGGCCAACCCATCAGGGATGTTAGGTTAGTTAGGCTCACCACCCGTGTTTCTGCCTGTCTCCAGGGCCAACCCATCAGGGATAGGTTAGTTAGGCCTACCACCCATGTTTCTGCCTGTCTCCAGGGCCAACCCATCAGTGATAGGTTAGTTAGGCTCACCACCCGTGTTTCTGCCGGTATTCAGACCCCTTGACTTTTTCAAAATGTTGTTACGTTACAGCCTTATTCTAAAATTGATTACATTGTTTTTTTCCCCTCATCAATGTACACACAATACCCCATAATGACAAAGCAAAAACAGGTTTTTAGAAATTTTAGCAAATGTATATAAAAATAAATAAATAATGATATCACATTTACATAAGTATTCAGACCCTTTACTCCGTACTTTGTTAGAACCCTTGGCAGCGATTACAGCCTTTTGTCTTCTTAATTATGACGCTACAAACTTGCCACACCTGTATTTGGGGAGTTTCTCCCATTCTTTTCTGCAAATCCTCTCAAGCTCTGTCAGGTTGGATGGGGAGCATCGCTGCACAGCTATATTCATGTCTCTCCAGAGATGTTCGATTGGGTTAAAGTCCGGGCTCTGGCTGGGCCACTAAAGGACATTCAGAGACTTGTCCCGAAACCACTTCTGCGTTGTCTTGGCTGGGTGCTTAGGGTCATTGTCCTGTTGGAAGGTGAACCTTTGCCCCAGTCTGAGGTCCTGAGCGCTCTGGAGCAGATTTTCATCAAGGATCTCACTGTACTTTGCTCCGTTCATCTTTGCCTCGATCATGACTAGTCTCCCAGTCCCTGCCTCTGAAAAACATCCCCACAGCATGATGCTGCCACCACCACGCTTCACCGTAGGGATGGTGCCAGGTTTCCTCCAGACATGACGCTTGGCATTCAGGCCAAAGAGTTCAGTCTTGGTTTCATCAGACCAGAGAATCTTGTTTTTCATGGTCTGAGAGTCCTTTAGGTACCTTTTGGCAAACTCCAAGCGGGCTGTCATGTGCCTTTTACTGAGGAGTGGCTTCCGTCTGGCCACTCTACCATAAAGGCCTGATTGGTGGAGTGCTGTACAGATGGTTGTCCTTCTGGAAGGTTCTCCCATCTCCACAGAGTTCCTCTGGAGCTCTGTCAGAGTGACCATCAGGTTTTTTCTCACCTCCCTGATCAAGGCCCTTCTCCCCCGATTGCTCAGTTTGGCCGGGAGGCCAGCTCTAGGAAGAGTCTTGGTGGTTCCAAACTTCTTCCATTTAAGAATGATGGAGTCCACTGTGTTCTTGGGGACCTTCAATGCTGTAGACATTTTTTGGTACCCTTTCCCAGATCTGTGCCTCGACACAATCCTGTCTCGGAGCTATACGGACAATTCCTTCGACCTCATGGATTGTTTTTTGCTCTGACATGCACTGTCAACTGTGAGACCTTACATAGACAGGTGTGTGCATTTCCAAATCATGTCCAATCAATTGAATATACCACAGGTGGACTCCAATCAAGTTGTAGAAACATCTCAACGATGATCAATGGAAACAGGATGCACCCAAGCTCAATTTCGAGTCTCATAGTAAAGGGTCTGAATACTTATGTAAATAAGGTATTTCTGTTTTTAATTTCTAATAGATTTGCAAAAAGATTTTATAAACCTGCTTTTGCTTTGTCATTATGGGGTATTCTGTGTAGATTGAGGGAAAAAAAGAATATAACGTAACAAAATGTGGAAAAAGGGAAGAGGTCTGAATACTTTCCGAATGCACTGTATGCCCCTTTAACTTTGGCGGAAATTACTTTGGGGCGAAGGTGTATTGGTTTAGGTTCAGACTGAACCTGTCTTTATCTTGTCTTTATCTTGTCACCTGTCTGTCTTTATCTGTCTTTATCTTGACACCTGTCTTTGTCTGTCTTTATCTTGACACCTGTCTGTCTTTATCTTGTCACCTGTCTGTCTTTGTCTTTTATCTTGTCACCTGTCTGTCTTTATCTGTCTTTATCTTGACACCTGTCTGTCTTTATCTGTCTTTATTTTGTCACTTGTCTGTCTTTATCTGTCTTTATCTTGTCACCTGTCTGTCTTTATCTGTCTTTATCTTGACACCTGTCTTTATCTGTCTTTATCTTGACACCTGTCTGTCTTTATCTGTCTTTATCTTGACACCTGTCTGTCTTTATCTGTCTTTATCTTGTCACCTGTCTGTCTTTGTCTGTCTTTATCTTGTCACCTGTCTGTCTTTATCTGTCTTTATCTTGACACCTGTCTTTGTCTGTCTTTATCTTGACACCTGTCTGTCTTTATCTGTCTTTATCTTGTCACCTGTCTGTCTTTATCTGTCTTTATCTTGTCACCTGTCTGTCTTTATCTGTCTTTATTTTGTCACCTGTCTGTCTTATCTGTCTTTATCTTGTCACCTGTCTGTCTTATCTTTACTTCTGTCTTTATCTTGCACCTGTCTGTCTTTATCTGTCTTTATCTTGTCACCTGTCTGTCTTTATCTGTCTTTATCTTGCACCTGTTGCTTTATCTGTCTTTATCTTGCACCTGTCTGTCTTTATCTGTCTTTATCTTGTCACCTGTCGTGTCTTTATCTTGTCACTGCTGTTTTGTCTTTATCTTGCACCTGTCTGTCTTTATCTGTCTTTATCTTGTCACCTGTCTGTCTTTTGTCATGTCTGTTATCTTGCACCTGTCTGTCTTTCTGTCTTTATTTGTCACCTGTCGTTTTATCTGTCTTTATTTGTCACTGTCTGTCTTCTGTCTATTGTCACCTGTCTGTCTTTGTTTATCTTGTCACCTGTGTCTGTCTTTATTGTCTGTATTTATTGTCACCTGTCGCTTACTGTTTTATTTTGGCACTGTCGTCTTATGCTTTACTGTCGGTCTGTGTGTGTTGGTACTGTCTGTTGATCCTTCCTGCTGTGTTGGTGTCATGTGTTCTTAGGACTGCTTTTCTTCACCCTCATCTGTGAGTGGTGTTGTGTGTTGTGTTTATGCGACTGGTGTGTTATGAAGATTGGTGTGTTGTGTGTTGTACGACTGTGTATGTGGACTGTGTGTGTATGGGACTGTGTGTGTTGTGTGTATGCGGACGGTGTGTGTGTTGTGTGTGGTTATGCGGGACTGTGGTGTGTCTGTGTGTAATGCAGACTGTGTGTGTGGTGTTGTGTAATGGCCGGACTGTGTGTGTCTGTGTTGTGTTGTAATGCGGACTGTGTATGTGACCTGTGTGTTGATGCGGACTGTGTGTGTCTGTGTGTATGCGGACTGTGTGTGTGTGGTGTATGCGGACTGTGTTGTGTGTCTGGGGTGTATGCTGGACTGTGTGGTGTTGTGTGTATGCGGAAACTGTGTGTGTCTGTGTGTATGCGGACTGTGTGTGTGTGTGTGTGGTATGCGGACTGTGTGTGTCCTGTGTGTGTATGCGGACTGTGTGTGTGTGTGTGTATGCGGACTGTGTGTGGTGTGTGTGTATGTGGACGTGTTGTGTGTGTGTGTGTAATGCGGACTGTGTGTGTGTGTGTGGTGGTGGTATGCGGACTTGGTGTTGTCTGTGTGTGTATGGCGTACTGTGTGTTGTGTTGTGTGTGTGGTAGGGCCGGAACTGTGGTGTGTGTGTGTGTATGCGGACTGTGTGTGTCTGTGTGTATGCGGACTGTGTGTGTGTGTGTATGCGGACTGTGTGTGTGTGTGTGTATGCGGACTGTGTGTGTGTGTGTGTATGCGGACTGTGTGTGTGTGTCTGTGTGTGTGCGGACTGTGTGTGTCTGTGTAATATTACTATGTGATAACCTGTATCAAGGCATCAACCTGGTTAATAATGTTTTTCTTGTAGAAAGGAGGTGTGTGAGTCTAAGACAATAATGTGTCCGCTGTGTGACAAGAGATGCAAAGTGTGGCTACTCAGCGATACCTGCCTCTACGCCAAGGTACGCACTCACTCATTCACTCATCACTCATCACTCATTCACTCACTCACTCACTCACTCACTCACTCACTCACTCACTCACTCACTCACTCACTCACTCACTCGTTAGTTTTTTTTTTTTTTTTTTTTTTTTTTTTGAAAAACAATAAAACCCAACAAGTATCAATACAAAGCATTGCCATGGTAAAATCATAACATACACTCAGTGGTCAGTTTATTAGGTATACCTATCTAGTACCGGGTCGGACCCCCCTTTGCTTCCAGAACAGCCTGAATTGTTCAGGGCATGGATTCTTTAATTTTTTGAGGGGGATGTAATTTTCCCCCAATTTCGTGAAATCCAATTGGTAGTTATGATCTTGTCTCAACGCTGCAACTCCCCATTGAGGCGAAGGTCGATACATGCGTCCCCCGAAACGTGACCCGCCAGGCCGCGCTGCTTCTTAACACACTGCTCGCTTAACGCCGAAGCACCAATGTGTAGGAGGAAACACAGTTCGACTGACAACTGAAGTCAGCTTGCAGGCGCCCCGCCCACCACAAGGAGACGCTGGGCTAATTGTGCGCCGCCCCTGGGGCTCCCGGTCACAGCCGTCTGTAACACAGTCTGTAATCCCCAGGCTGTAGTGGAGCCTCAGCACTGTGATGCAGTGCCTTAGACCGCTGAGCCACTCGGGAGGCTTCCCAGCATGGATTCTAAAAGGTGTCGGAAACGTTCCACAGGGATGTTGGTCCATGCTGACGCGATGGCAGCACGCGGTTGCTGCATAATTGGACAGCGGTACATTCATGCACCACCAGCCTGTACTGTTGACACCAGGCAGGATGGGTCCATGAACTCATGCTGCTTACGCCAAATCCTGACTCTGCCATCAGCATGACGCAACAGGAACTGGTATTTGTCGGAACAGGCAATGTTTTTCCACTCCTCAGTTGTCCAGTGTTGGTGATGGCCTGCCCACTGGAGCCGCTTCTTGTTTTTAGCTGATAGGAGTGGAACCCGGTGTGGTCGTCTGGTGCAATAGCCCATCTGTGACAAGGATCGACAAGTTGTGTGTTCCGAGATGCCGTTCTGCACAACACTGTTGTACTGCGCCGTTATTTGCCTGTTTGTGGTCCGCCTGTTAGCTTGCACGATTCTTGCCATTCTCCTTTGACCTCTCATCAATGAGCTGTTTTCACCCACAGGACTGTCGCTGACTGGATGTTTTTTGTTCGTCACACCGTTCTCTGTAAACCCTAGACACTGTCGTGCGTGAAAAGCCCAGGAGGGCGTTTCTGAGATACTGGAACCGGCGCGCCTGGCACCGACGATCATACCAGGGTCAAAGCCGCTTAGGTCACTAGCTTTGCCCAATCTAACATTCAATCGAACAGTAACTGAATGCCTCGATGCCTGTCTGCCTGCTTTATATAGCAAGCCACGTCCACGTGACTCACTGTCTGTAGGAGCGAACCATTTTCATGAACGGGGTGGTGAACAGGGTGGTGTACCTTAATAAACTGGCATGGATATTACAGGAGCTAGAGTAATGTTGAAATGTTGCAAAAACATACCAAAAAAAAAGAAGAAAAAAACCTCAACTGAAAGATGTTGACAGGGGTTGATCTGAAACTAAGTGGTTCTAGCACAGTGGCTTAAGGGAAGAATTATGTGGTTACACAATACAACTTAGAAATGTGTAGTCTTCTACTAAATAAGGCCACTCAGGTTTTTGTGAATGCAATTGTAGGCTGTGAACTAACAGGCAGACTACTGCATTATACTATTACTACTACTGCATTATACTTTTACTACTACTGCATTATACTACTACTACTGCACTATACTATTACTAATACTGCATTATACTATTACTACTACTACCGCATTATACTATTACTACTACTGCATTATACTATTACTACCACTGCAGTATATTATTACAACTACTGCAGTATACTATTACTACTACTGCAGTATACTATTACTACTACTGCAGTATACTTTTACTACTACTGCATTATACTATTACTACAACTGCAGTATACTATTACTACTGCTGCTGTATACTATTACAACTACTGCATTATACTATTAATACTACTACTGCACTATACTATTACTACTACTACTGCATTATACTATTACTACTACTGCATTATACTATTACTACTACTGCAGTACACTATTACTACTACTGCAGTATACTATTACTACTACTGCATTATGATATTACTACTACTGCAGTATACTATTCTACTACTGCATTATACTATTCCTACTACTGCATTATACTATTAATACAACTGCAGTATACTATTAATACTACTGCAGTATACTATTACTACTTCTGCATTATACTAATACTACTACTGCAGTATACTATTACTACTACTGCATTATACTATTACTACTTCGGCATTATACTATTACTACTACTGTAGTACACTATTACTACTACTGCATTATACTATTACTACTACTGCATTATACTATTACTACTACTGCGGTATATTATTACTACTACTGCATTATACTATTACTACTACTGCATTATACTATTACTACTACTGCAGTATACTATTAATACTACTGTAGTATACTATTACTACTACTGCATTATACTATTACTACTACTGCATTATACTATTACTACTACTGCAGTATATTATTACTACTACTGCATTATACTATTACTACTACTGCATTATACTATTACTACTACTGCAGTATACTATTACTACTACTGCAGTATATTATTACTACTACTGCATTATACTATTACTACTACTGCATTATACTATTACTACTACTGCGGTAATACTATTAATATACTTGATATACTATTACTACTGCATTATACTATTATACTATTACTACTACTGCATTATACTATTACTACTACTGCATATACTATTAACTACGCTATTTATATAGCATATACTATTACTACTACTGCATTATACTATTACTACTACTGCATTATACTATTACTACTACTGCAGTATATATTACTACTACTGCATTATACTATTACTACTACTGCATTATACTATTACTACTACTGCAGTTATACTATTACATACTACTGCAGTATATATTACTACTACTGCATTATACTATTACTACTACTGCATTATACTATTACTACTACTGCAGTATACTATTACTACTACTGCATGTATACTATTACTACTACTGCATTATACTATTACTACTACTTAAGCAAACTATTTACTACTGCATTATACTATTACTACTACTGCATATACTATTACTACTACTGCATACTTATACTACTGCATATACTTTACTACCTGCATTATACTATACTACTACTGCAGTATACTATTACTACTACTGCAGTATACTATTACTACTACTGCATTATACTATTACTACTACTGCAGTATACTATTACTACTATGCAATTATGACTATTCATTATACTACGCTATTTATTATATTCACATAATACTACTTGCATTATACTAATATAACTACTAACTCTGCAGTATACTATTACTACTACTGCATATATCTACTATTATACTTACTTACTGCATTATACTATTACTACTACTGCATAATTACTATTTACTACTACTGCATATACTATTACTACTACTTGGCATTATATATTACTACTACCTATATTATACTATACTGCAGTATACTATTACTACTACTGCAGTATACTATTACTACTACTGCATTATACTTATACTACTACTGCAGTTATATCTATTACTTACTAACTACTGCATTATACTATTACTACTACTGCATATACTATTACTACTATGCAGATAATACCTATTAACTACTACTGTCAGTATACTATTACTACTACTGCATTATACTATTACTACTACTGCAGTATACTATTACTACTACTGCAGTTATACTATTACTACTACTGCATTATACTATTACTACTACTGCATTATACTATTACTACTACTGCAGTATACTATTACTACTACTGCAGTATATTCTTTATATACTAACTGCATGTATACTATTACTACTACTGCATTATACTATTACTACTTGCAGTATACTATTACTACTACTGCAGTATATTATTACTACTACTGCAGTATATATTACTACACTGCTATATATACTACTATGCATTACTATTACTTACTGCATTACTATTACTACACGCATATACTATTACTACTACAGCATTATACTATTACTACTACTGCACTGCTGCGTATACTATTACTACTACTGCATTATACTATTAATACTACTACTGCACTATACTATTACTTCTACTACTGCATTGTACTATTACTACTACTGCATTATACTATTACTACTACTGCATTATACTATTACTACTACTGCATTATGCTATTACTACTACTGCAGTATACTATTCTACTACTGCATTATACTATTCCTACTACTGTATTATACTATTACTACTACTGCAGTATACTATTCTACTACTGCATTATACTATTCCTACTACTGCAGTATACTATTCTACTACTGCATTATACTATTCCTACTACTGCATTATACTATTACTACTACTGCGGTATACTATTAATACTACTGCTATTACTACTGCATTATACTATTACTATTTATACTACTGCAGTATACTATTGGTAGTACTATTACAGCAAACATAATGGTCAGAGAAGTAATGTTCAAAACATGACATAGACTGACCAGGTGAATCCAGGTGAAAGCTATGATCCCTTGTTGACGTCACCAAGTATCCCCTTTTCCCTTTTTCCCCATCACTTGAGATATCTTGGTAGAAATTATAAGTATATGACAAGCAGCAAGAATGTGATCAAATCAAAGTGTATTGGTTGCGTACACAGTTTAGCAGATGTTATAGCGTGTGCAGCGAAATGCTTGTGTTACTGATTCGAATCAGAGCGCCGGAGGGGAGCAACGGTAGGAGATGTGACAAGATGTCATATTAATTTGTATTTACATCAAGTATTTACAGCCTTTTCATCATAATTCATGATAAATGTTATAAAATATTGACCACAGTAAAAGTCAGAAGGGGTTAAATGGTATTTACTAAGGCAGTGACTGGCATCGCTGTTTTTGGTCTGAAGTCGGTTCCATGGTTGAACTGGTTGATGGTGGGTGTGTTCTTGTGTTCTCTCTGGCCCCATTGGTCTATGCCCTGGAGGCCTGGCCAATAGTCTCTCACTGGGCAGTGCTTAAAGAGTTGTAATCAGCAGGCAGTTTGATTGGCCAGACCTTGCCATTAGGTGGGCCGAACATCAAAACTCCATGATAGTGACCTGGAACTGACCGCTCATGACTTCAGAGATCTCTATGAGGAATGGCGAGTGGTTGCCGTAGTGTTCAATTATGTTGTTATCCATATTGGCGTAAAATCCCTCTTTTGCATGTCTTGTAGATGTTTCCCAATGGTGTCCTCTTGTAGGCCATACATTTCAGAAATCACTTGTCTCAGACCTTTCAGAGTTGGGGTGTTGAGCATGAGCGCATCAAACACCTCCTCAGAATCTGTTCTCACGTACAGGAGTGCTCTCTGCTGCACCTCCCATCTGGCCTGCTTGCTTGGAGGTGGGCTACCACTGCTCTGGTCCACTCTATCAGGGTACAGTCTCTTCAGGGAGGTCCTTTCAATCTCCTCCATTGTTGTGGGGTGGGGTGCAAGGCCGCAGGGCTGCATCTCTGGGATGAAGAGGACAGGGCTGGTGACGTGGTCCTCCAGGGTCTTGAGAAGGTGATGATGTCATGGAGCTGGTGACGTGGTCCTCCGGGGTCTTGAGAAGGTGATGTCATGGAGCTGGTGACGTGGTCCTCCAGGGTCTTGAGAAGGTGATGTCATGGAGCTGGTGACGTGGTCCTCCAGGGTCTTGAGAAGGTGATGTCATGGAGCTGGTGACGTGGTCCTCCAGGGTCTTGAGAAGGTTTATGTCATGGAGCTGGTGACGTGGTCCTCCAGGGTCTTGAGAAGGTTTATGTCGTGGAGCTGGTGACGTGGTCCTCCAGGGTCTTGAGAAGGTGCTGTCGTGGAGCTAGTGACGTGGTCCTCCAGGGTCTTGAGAAGGTGATGTCATGGAGCTGGTGACGTGGTCCTCCAGGGTCTTGAGAAGGTGCTGTCATGGAGCTGGTGACGTGGTCCTCCAGGGTCTTGAGAAGGTGATGTCGTGGAGCTGGTGACGTGGTCCTCCAGGGTCTTGAGAAGGTGATGTCATGGAGCTGGTGACGTGGTCCTCCAGGGTCTTGAGAAGGTGATGTCATGGAGCTGGTGACGTGGTCCTCCAGGGTCTTGAGAAGGTGATGTCATGGAGCTGGTGACGTGGTCCTCCAGGGTCTTGAGAAGGTGATGTCGTGGAGCTGGTGACGTGGTCCTCCAGGGTCTTGAGAAGGTGCTGTCATGGAGCTGGACACTACTGACTTTGTTGTTGATGAGCTGCTTTTCTGAGTTGGGGGAGAGAGGGGGGGAGATGGGCAAAAGCTTGATGTTCAGGTCCAGCGCCTCCTGGGGGTGGCTGGAGGAAATTGTCTCAGACAGCAGCTTTATGATGTTGGAGGGTGTCTCCAGGGAGGCCAGCTCAGGCGAGGAGCCACTCAGTCCTCTGTAATGACTTGTACATACTGCTGCCTCGCATGCATGCAACCATTTTCTGTTCTTTGGGTGTGTCTTGCACTGGTATGGAGATAGTGGTAAGGTTGTCCTCAGTGTCGGGTCTGGGTTTGGTAAGTAGGTTGTCCGGGTAAGATGGTCCTCTGTGTTGGGTCTGGGTTTGGTGAGTATGTTGTCCGGGTAAGATCGTCCTCAGTGTCGGGTCTGGGTTTGGTGAGTAGGTTGTCCGGGTAAGGTCGTCCTCTGTGTTGGGTCCGGGTAAGATCGTCCTCTGTGTTGGGTCTGTGTAGGCCCAGGAGTCCATGATGTAGTTACTGTAGCGCTAGTAGTTGAAGTACTCGTTCTGAAGGACCAATTCCCAGAGTCTCAATTTCTTTGGTCATGACTCAGAGGTTCCTTTTGGGTAAAGTATCCTACCAGTGAGTGTGTACAGTCCGTCTTAGCAGAGAGAAGAAGCAGACGTCCCGCTGAGTGAGCCTGTTCTATTCTGGTCCTTGCCGGCTCCCCACATTTATTTTCCTGCCGACAGGTAGCTTCCTGATTGGCCAAGGGCTCTGAAGACAGGTGCCTGATAGAGCAGGTGTAGAGGGGTTAACTGTTTCAGTGCTGGTGAGAAACCAGGTGTGAGTGGTGGGTACCTAACAGGACAATCCTGGGCAGTGTTTCACACATCTCATTAGGAGTTAAAGACAAGAATGAGATTGGTTTCTGCAAGGTGTGAAAGGCTTCTTATTTTGAGTGAGAAACCAAAGATAGTTTGCAGGCTTTAAAATGGTTTATATAATTCAGTATCATTATTTTGTCTCTCTGGGTCTACAGTGTTTAGAAAATGCAATTGGTGGTTTTGGTGCACTTATTTGCTGGGATCAGTGTTTGTAATTGTCGTTGGCAAAACTATTTGATGAGAGTTGTAGCTGAGGACTTTGGATAGGTTTTGAAAGTATTTTGATCCTTTGCATATGAAATTATCCACACAGAATAAAGATTATAATATAAAGTCTCTATAAAGAAACAAATACCATATTAATTATTTCAAATGTAGATACCGGTAGATTACATTTTAATGTATTTAATGAGCAGGAGTTTAATGTTTTAAGAAGTAAATTAGGATTTTTTATGGTTTGGATTTTACATTTCAATATAGATAAAACTGAAATATATATTATTTCAAATCTGGAAAGAAATTGAAGCGAGAATTCACAATTCTCAAAGTGCAATACATCTTTAAATACGTAATATTTAATATGAAACATCACACTTTATGTTTTATGTTATTGTATTTCTTTAAGCTTATTACCATGTGATTCCAGAGGAAACTAAATGTCAGATTCATGTGAAAGGGATTAGCCCATTCAGCAGAAACCACAATATGTAAATGTAGGAACCTCCAAAGTTATTGGCACCCTTGCCAAAGATGAGAAGAAATGACTGTGTCAAATAAATAATACAAATACTGAGCTATATTGTATGCTCCAAAAAATTTGAAGATTATACTATTTTGTACTAATACAATTGCACAGAGAAATATATTTTGTTAAACAATAATAAAACAATTTCTCAAAGGGGATAGGTTTCAAAATTATTGGTACTCCGGTGTGAAATTGCTAGCTAGTTAGCGGTGACGTCACTCGCTCTGAAACCTTGAAGTAGTTGTTTCCCTTTGCTCTGCAAGGGCCGCGGCTTTTGTGGAGCGACGGGTAACGGTGCTTCGAGGGTGACTGTTGTTGATGTGTGCAGAGGGTCCCTGGTTCAAGCCCAGGTTGGGGTGAGGAGAGGGATGGAAGCAACACTGTTACACAAGGATAACAACACTGAGCATTTTTTAAAATAATGTTTTATGAGATTGGAAATGTCCCACTCTGTCTGCCGTATTATTTATTTCACATTGGGAGGGATCTTAGACCTCCATACAGAATCTTTCCAGAGCCTGGATATCCTTCGGTTTGCACTAATGGACTGCCCTTTTCAATTAAAACCACATGTTTTCAATGGGGTTCAAGTCTGGAGACTGAGATGCCCCATTACAAAATGTTCATTTTGTGGTCAATTTATAATTTCTTTATGGATTTTGATGTGTGCGTGGGGCTATTGTCTTGCTGGAAGATCCACTTGCGGCCAAGTTTCAGCCTACTGGCAGAGGCAACCAGGTTTTTGGCTAAAATGTCCTGGTGCTTGGTAGAGTTCATGATGCTGTTGACCTTAACAGGGGCCCTAGGACCAGTGGAAGCAAAAAAAAGCCCCATTAAATCAAATATCCACCACCATATTTGACAGTAGGTGTGAGGTTATTTTCTGTCTTCATTTGACACCAAACCCACCACTGTGTACACTACAAAAATATGTGTTGTGGAACTGGTTTCTAACTAGTACAATGTAACTATCTCTTTCTCTACAGGTCAGCATCCTATTTGACAACGAGGGGACGGTTATGTTTGCTATGTTCATGGCAGTATGGGGTGAGTCGGTACATACAGTAGTAACCTAAATATATGTTTACTATGTTCATGGCAGTATGGAGTGAGTCGTATATACTCCAGTAGTAACCTAAAGATATGTTATGTTATGTTATGTTTTCAGTGCTGAGAAAGCTACAGATGTAGGATCTCAATTTGCCCTATATTGTCGCAACAAAATAATCTTGCAGCAACAGGCTTTTAATGTTTAGTCCATAATGTTGCTTGATCGGTGGTTGGGTCATGAAAAGTGGAATACTGTTAATATGTGTTAATGTGGGTTTTCATTTAATTTATGTACAGTACCAGTCAAAAGTTTGGAAACACCTACTCATTCAAGGGTTTTTCTTTATTTTTTACTATTTTCTACATTGTAAAATAATAGTGAAGACATCAAAACTATGAAATAAGACATATGGAATCATGTAGTAACCAAAAAAGTGTTAAACAAATTTTTCAGATAGCCACCCTTTGCCTTGATGACAGCTTTGCACACTCTTGGCATTCTCTCAACCAGCTTCACCTGGAATGTTTTTCCAACAGTCTTGAGGGAGTTCCCACATGTGCTGAGCACTTGTTGGCTGCTTTTCCTTCACTCTGCCGTCCGACTCATCCCAAACCATCTCAATTGGATTGAGGTCGGGGGGATTGCAGAGGCCAGGTCATCTGATGCAGCACTCATCACTCTCCTTCTTGGTAAAATAGCCCTTACACAGCCTGGAGGTGTGTACCCAAGATTGTCTTGTTGAAAAACAAATGATAGTCCCATTAAGCCCAAACCGGATGGGATGGCGTATCGCTGCAGAATGCTGTGGGAGCCATGCTGGTTAAGTGTGCCTTGAATTATAAATAGATCACAGACAGTATCACCAGCAAAGCACCCCCACACCATAACACCTCCTCCTCCATGCTTTACGGTGGGAACTACACATGCGGAGATCATCCGTTCACCCATACTGCGTCTTACAAAGACACGGCGGTTGGAACCAAAAATCTCAATTTTGGACTCCAGACAAAAGGACACATCTCCGCTGGTCTAATGTCCATTGCTCGTGTTTCTTGGCCCAAGCAGGTCTCTTCTTCTTATTGGTGTCCTTTAGTAGTGGTTTGAAGGCCTGATTCACACAGTGTCCTCTGAACAGTTGATGTTGAGATGTGTCTGTTACTTGACCTCTGTGAAGCATTTATTTGGGCTGCAATTTCTGAGGCTGGTAACTCGAATGAACTTATCCTCTGCAGCAGCGGTAACTCTGGGTCTTCCATTCCTGTGGTGGTCCTCATGAGAGCTAGTTTCATCATCGCGCTTGATTGTTTTTGCGACTGAAATGTTCTGTGTTGACTGACCTTCATGTCTTAAAGTAATGATGGACTGTCGTTTCTCTTTGCTTATTTGAGCTGTTCTTGCCATGATATGGACTTGGTCTTTTACCAAATAGGGCTATCTTCTGTATACCCCCTTACCTTGTCACAACACAACTGATTGGCTCAAACGGATTAAGAAGGAAATAAATTCCATAAATTAACTTTGAAGAAGGCACACCTGTTAATTGAAATGCATTCCAGGTGACTACCTCATGAAGCTGGTTGAGAGAATGCCAAGAGTGTGCAAAGCTGTCATCAAGGCAAAGGGTGGCTATTTGAAGAATCTCAAATATAAAATATATTTTGATTTATTTAACACTTCTTTGGTTACTACATGTTTCCATATGTGTTATTTCATAGTGTTGATGTCTTCACTATTATTCTACAATGTAAAAATTAGTAAAAATAAAGAAAAACCCTTGAATGAGTACGTGTGTCCAAACCTTTGACTGGTAGTGTAAATCACGAAGCTCATCTGCATTTCTCATCAGATTATTCCCAGCAACAAAAAAGTGATCAAATTAAGATCCCACACCTGTACTAATAGGAATCATTGCCAGGTTACCAGTTTGTTTCTGCTCTCTTGCTAACTCCTGGAATTGTCTTGACGTTTGGTGTGACAATGAGTGAAAAGGTCTGGGACAGATCTGGGACCAGGCTAGGATGATTCCATGAATGTCTTTAAAACATCTCCAATGTTGTTGTTTTTATGTTATTATGGGGTAGTCTTGCATATGGTAGTAACCTAAAGATATGTTATTATGGGGTAGTCTTGCATATGGTAGTAACCTAAAGATATGTTATTATGGGGTAGTCTTGCATATGGTAGTAACCTAAAGATATGTTATTATGGGGTAGTCTTGCATATGGTAGTAACCTAAAGATATGCTATTATGGGGTAGTCTTGCATATGGTAGTAACCTAAAGATATGTTATAATGGGGTAGTCTTGCATATGGTAGTAACCTAAAGATATGTTATTATGGGGTAGTCTTTCATAAGTTAGTAACTTATAGATATGTTATTTTGGGGTAGTCTTGCATATGGTAGTATGTTACAGATATGTTATTATGGGGTAGTCTTGCATATGGTAGTATGTTACGGTTTTAGCACTGAGATACAGTACTGCTGTTGTTGTTTCTTCAGCCACCCTGTTCCTGGAGTTCTGGAAGCGACACAGGGCCTCCTATACATGTGCATGGAAGGTGTTCGACTGGTGTGAGGAGGAGGTATGGTCCCGCGGAACACATGCCCTGACGTTAGTCTTTGGTCAACTTTGTTTCCAATCTTTTAAAGAAAAAATAGGTAGAGCTATCTGTACATGTCCCGAACCGTCCCCGCAGAATATGGCTCTGTGAAACTAGTGGGATTGTTTATCGGCAAAGCCTCTCCCCCTTTTTGAGTGTTATAATCGCCATATGTGCCTCTGTCTGTAGGAGGAGCTGATCCTGGAGATAGTGAACGATGCAGAATGTGAGCCTAAACAGCACAAGCACTCCTACCTACGCAGCACCCTGGTCCTCATCCTGGCCACTCTCGTAGTGAGTGCCTATTTTACAAACAGCTTGTTTGAAACCAGTTTGAAAGAGACATCTGGCCCACAACTTATAGTCTAAAGATGAATCTGACTTCAATTCTGACTTTCAAATCGGATTCTCAAGACAGCTCCATATAGGGACAGTTCTGAGCAGTATTTCTTTAAAGAGAATGTCTTTACAGATGCTGCTGATCATCGGCCTGGCCCACGCTCTGGTGGTGTTCCGGGTGGTTGCCACGGTGATGTTGGCTGAAGGATCATGGGAGTTCCTTAGTGACCACTCCAACACGGCCGCTGTGATACTAGGAGCTGTGCTACACTACTTCACCATCACCATCATGACATGGGTACACACTGTGTGTTTGAGTGTGAGTGTGTGTGTGTGTGTGTGTGTGTGTGTGTGTACAGACTGATCAGTTGAGTGTGGCCCATGGCTATTTCCCTGCCTGTAATCCTGCTAGTAATTTTACCCTTTACCCCTTTTACCCTTTTACCCTTTACCCTTTAACCTTTAACCTTTACCCTTTACCCTTTACCCTTTAACCCTTTAACCTTTACACTTTAACCTTTACCCTTTTACCCTTTACCCTTTACCCTTTAACCCTTTAACCCTTTACCCTTTACCCTTTACCCTTTAACCTTTACCCTTTAACCTTTACCCTTTTAACCTTTACCCTTTTACCCTTTACCCTTGACCTTTTACCCTTTTACCCTTTTACCCTTTCTCTGACTGTATTCTTCTATATTTGCAGGTCAACAGGATTGTGTCGCTGAAACTCTGTAATATAGGTTGGTGAAATCTTACATGATTCAAAGTACTTTTCAGTCCCTCCAGGATTTTGCAGGGATTTTTCTGTGATATTTGCGAGCAAAAATGATTGATTTGCTGCTGCAATTCTGATATTTAGCATGGCAATATGCAAGGATTTTGTCCAATTTGTTGAGAAAGTGTGTTGACGAGGGAAAAGGTTTGTTGACGTGTGGCTTGATTGAACCATATTATGCGGAAATAGTTCAGTGCTTTGTCAAAGGAATTGTTGGTTTTGCAAAACATTTTGCGATCCCAGAATCGCAGAATCCTGTAGGGACTTCCTTTTGATAGTTACTTTGTAAACTTCCATCTGGTGGTCAAGTTGTGATTTACAGACTGCCATCTGGTGGTCAAGTTGTGATTTACAGACTGCCATCTAGTGGTCAAGTTGTGATTTACAGACTGCCATCTGGTGGTCAAGTTGTGATTTACAGACTGCCATCTGGTGGTCAAAGTTGTGATTTACAGACTGCCATCTGGTGGCGTAGTTGTGGTTTACAAGTCTTCACGAAGTCTTTTGTCTTTCAGAGGAGAATCAGTCATTTGCTGCCACCGAGAGGAGCTTCACGGTCAAGATGTTCACCTTCCAGTTCTTCACCCTCTTCTCCTCGCTCTTCTACATTGCTTTCTTCCTGGGCAGGTGAGATCTCCACGGCCCATTCATCTGGGATTAGTGGCGCAGTGGTCTAAGGCACTGCATCGCAGTGCTAACTGTGCCACTAGAGATCCTGGTTCGAATCCAGGCTCTGTCGCAGCCGGCCGCGACCGGGAGACTCATGGGCGGCGCACAATTCGTCCAGGGTAGGGGAGGGAATGGCCGGCAGGGATGTAGCTCAGTTGATAGAGCATGGCGTTTGCAACGCAAGGGTTGCGGGTTCGCTTCCCACGGGGGGCCAGTATAAAAAATATATATATGTATTCACTAACTGTAAGTCGCTCTGGATAAGAGCATCTGCTAAATGATTAAAATGGATTAGAAGAGTGTTTGTGAAGTTAGAGTAGAGGAAGACACAGCATGAGGAGGTTTGAGAACCATTTGTTTGTGGAGCAGTGGGCTGGAGTTTCTTCCTTTTTTATTGATCAGATTTATCTCCAAGCAGCTGAATAAACCATAGGTGTGCATATAACACTTTTTCAAATTAACTTAGAGTAGTGACACGTTTGTTGAAGTTGGAGTAGTGACATGTTTGTCGCTCTTCTCAGGATAAATGGACACCCCGGTGGCTACGTGCGGATAGCAGGGAAGTGGAGGCTGGAGGAGGTGAGGGATCCTGAGGGATCCAGGAACATGTGTAACAATTTGATTATCCTTCACAAATAGTAGTTGAAATGGGAGTGGAAGTTAAAGAGAAAATAATTCGATATTCACTGTTTACCTGACGCTAGCTAACTGCTGTATGTTGTCCCCGTGTCGTCCCTGTTCAGTGCCACCCCAGTGGCTGCCTCACAGACCTTTTCATCCAGATGGCCATCATTATGGTTCTGAAACAAACCATCAGCAACATCTTCGAGTTCGGAGGCCCGTAAGTCTACATCGACACAAGTACATTGCTATAGTGTATGTTGATGAGGGAAAGTTGATTAACATCTCTTGTTGTTATGAACAGATTTGGGTTAGCGATGTATGAAACACGGGGGACAGGTGATACAGAAAGTTAGTGCAAGGAGCCAAGGATCTAAGGGCTGGCTCTGAGAGCAATGTGTGGTCATGGGTCGGCATAGGTCCCACTAAACCAGACCATGACCCAATATTGAATGGTCTGTCCATTTGAGAGCCCAGGTCCATCATTCAGCGCTGTTTCCTGTCTCTGTGTACAGCTGGTTCAACAGGTGGCTGAAGAGGAAGAGGACCAAGCTACAGAGGAAGTGTGCCCACTGTTACAAGAAGGAAGACCAACAGACCAATCAGGGGCAAGATCTGTGTGAGAACTGCATGCTCCGTGATTGGCTAAGAAACTACCGTCTCAAAGACGTGGACTCCTTCAGCCTCTTCAATGAGTTCCTGGAGATGGGTACGTCACAGATGACCAGGGCAGGGTCAGGGTTCAGCCTATTCAGAGGCTATGTTCCAATATCCACACTAGTACAGTGAGGGAATAAAGTATTTTACCCCCTGCTGATTTTGTACGTTTGCCCACTGACAAAGAAATGATCAGTCTATAATTTTAATGGTAGGTTTATTTGAACAGTGAGAGACAGAATAACAACAACAAAATCCAGAAAAACGCATGTCAAAAATGTTATAAATTGATTTGCATTTTAATGAGGGAAATAAGTATTTCACCCCCTCTCAATCAGAAAGACTTCTGGCTCCCAGGTGTCTTTTATACAGGTAACGGGCTGAGATTAGGAGCACACTCTTAAAGGGAGTGCTCCTAATCTCAGCTTGTTACCTGTATAAAAGACACCTGTCCACAGAAGCAATCAATCAATCAGATTCCAAACTCTCCACCATGGCCAAGACCAAAGAGTTCTACAAGGATGTCAGGGACAAGATTGTAGACCTACACAAGGCTGGAATGGGCTACAAGACCATCGCCAAGCAGCTTGGTGAGAAGGTGACAACAGTTGGTGCGATTATTCGCAAATGGAAGAAACACAAAATAACTGTCAATCTCCCTCAGCCTGGGGCTCCATGCAAGATCTCACCTCGTGGAGTTGCAATGATCATGAGAACGGTGAGGAATCAGCCCAGAACTACATGGGAGGATCTTGTCAGTGATCTCAAGGCAGCTGGGACCATAGTCACCAAGAAAACAATTGGTAACACACTACGCCGGGAAGGACTGAAATCCTGCAGCGCCCTCAAGGTCCACCTGGGTCCACCTGCTCAAGAAATAACATATACAGGCCCGTCTGACATTTGCCAATGAATATCTGAATGATTCAGAGGAGAACTGGGTGAAAGTGTTGTGGTCAGATGAGACCAAAATGGAGCTCTTTGGCATCAACTCAACTCGCCGTGTTTGGAGGAGGAGGAATGCTGCTTATGACACCAAGAACATCATCCCAACCGTCAAACATGGAGGTGGAAACATTATACTTTGGGGGTGTATTTCTGCTAAGGGGACAGGACAACTTCACCGCATCAAAGGGACGATGGACGGGGCCATGTACCGTCAAATCTTGGGTGAGAACCTCCTTCCCTCAGCCAGGGCATTGAAAATGGGTCGTGGATGGGTATTCCAGCATTACAATGACCCAAAACACACGGCCAAGGCAACAAAGGAGTGGCTCAAGAAGAAGCACATTAAGGTCCTGGAGTGGCCTAGCCAGTCTCCAGACCTTAATCCCATAGAAAATCTGTGGGGGGAGCTGAAGGTTCGAGTTGCCAAATGTCAGCCTCGAAACCTTAATGACTTGGAGAAGATCTGCAAAGAGGAGTGGGACAAAATCCCTCCTGAGATGTGTGCAAACCTGGTGGCCAGCTACAAGAAACGTCTGACCTCTGTGATTGCCAACAAGGGTTTTGCCACCAAGTACTAAGTCATGTTTTGCAGAGGGGGTCAAATACTTATTTCCGTCATTAAAATGCAAATCAATGTATAACATTTTTGACATGTGTTTTTCTGGATTTTTTTGTTGTTATTCTGTCTCTCACTGTTCAAATAAACCTACCATTAAAACTATAGACTGATCATTTCTTTGTCAGTGGGCAAACGTACAAAATCAGCAGGGGATCAAATACTTTTTTCCCTCACTGTATAACATATATAATAATATGACATTTAGCAGACGCTTTTACCCAGTCTTACAGTCATGCATGCAAACATTTTTCGTAATGGATGGCCCCCGGGGAATCGAAACCCACCATCCTGGCGTTGCCATGCTCTATACCAAATGAGCCACACAGGACCACTTTGAATGCATGTGTGGGAGAGTGGAAGTTCCACCCAAACCGGTCAACACGACCATACTCAAGAAGCACCATCAATACCACCGACGCAGAAAAGCCAAGGCATTTCACTGGATCTGTGTTCCTCCTAGGTCTCAGGCAGTCAGTTAGGATGCCTTCTGCTACACATGCCCCAAAAACAGTGCTTCATTGTAAGTGTTATGCTAGTGCTGAAGTTGGAACAGAGGCCAGATGCTTTGAGGGTACTGAAGTCATTGAAGTCATAGTTAGTTTGGGACTCAGTTTTTATTGTTTTGTTCCCTCGCCAGTTCTCCAGTTCAGTTTCACCACCATCTTTGTGGCTGCGTTCCCCCTGGCTCCCCTGCTGGCCTTCATCAACAACGTCGTCGAGATACGCCTCGACGCCATCAAGATGGTCAGTTTGGAGCGCAGGATGGTACCCAAGAAGACCAACAACATCGGTGAGAAACAGAACGTTTATGAACGAGGTCTTCACAGTGTACATCTGACAACCTGGTTAAATATGAACGAGGTCTTCACAGTGTACATCTGACAACCTGGTTAAATATGAACGAGGTCTTCACAGTGTACATCTGACAACCTGGTTAAATATGAACGAGGTCTTCACAGTGTACATCTGACAACCTGGTTAAATATGAACGAGGTCTTCACAGTGTACATCTGACAACCTGGTTAAATATGAACGAGGTCTTCACAGTGTACATCTGACAACCTGGTTAAATATGAACGAGGTCTTCACAGTGTACATCTGACAACCTGGTTAAATATGAACGAGGTCTTCACAGTGTACATCTGACAACCTGGTTAAATATGAACGAGGTCTTCACAGTGTACATCTGACAACCTGGTTAAATATGAACGAGGTCTTCACAGTGTACATCTGACAACCTGGTTAAATATGAACGAGGTCTTCACAGTGTACATCTGACAACCTGGTTAAATATGAACGAGGTCTTCACAGTGTACATCTGACAACCTGGTTAAATATGAACGAGGTCTTCACAGTGTACATCTGACAACCTGGTTAAATATGAACGAGGTCTTCACAGTGTACATCTGACAACCTGGTTAAATATGAACGAGGTCTTCACAGTGTACATCTGACAACATGGTTAAATATGAACGAGGTCTTCACAGTGTACATCTGACAACCTGGTTAAATATGAACGAGGTCTTCACAGTGTACATCTGACAACCTGGTTAAATATGAACGAGGTCTTCACAGTGTACATCTGACAACCTGGTTAAATATGAACGAGGTCTTCACAGTGTACATCTGACAACCTGGTTAAATATGAACGAGGTCTTCACAGTGTACATCTGGCAACCTGGTTAAATATGAACGAGGTCTTCACAGTGTACATCTGACAACCTGGTGATTTTTATTAATTTTTTATGAGCATGTTATCAATTTCCTTGTTAGCTTGGAAATGGTATATTGTTGTGTAATATGGAAATATACGTTATATAATACATGGTATAATCTACTATGCAATGTATGTGTTGTTTTCTGTTTCTTACCTTAGGTGTATGGACAGATGTGTTGGAGGCTATCGGTGTGTTGGCAGTCATAGCCAACGGCCTGGTTATTGGCATATCTTCAGATTTTATCCCCCGCCTGGTATACCGCTACCATTATGGACCCTGCGTCAATGGAACAGTCACAGATATGGAGTAAGTCTGTCCATTCTGACTAGACAGTTTCAGGGTTGGGGTCAATTCCATTTCAATTCAGGAAGTAAACTGAAATTCCCAATTGACTGAATTGGAAATGGAATTGACCCAAACCCTGGTGAGTAGATCATCCCCGTTACTACCACATGCATACTGTACATGTAGCATCATCCAGTGAGTAACACTACATGCTCTAACCTACTGAGCCATCGGTGGTTCCTGTTATGAATGGGGATGGGTTTGTGTCACTGGCTATGTACGTCCCAAATGGCACCCTATTCCCTATACAGTGCACTACGTTTGACCAGGGCCCATAGCAAACTATTCCCTATACAGTGCACTACTTTTGACCAGGGCCCATAGCAAACTATTCCCTATACAGTGCACTACTTTTGACCAGGGCCCATAGCAAACTATTCCCTATACAGTGCACTACGTTTGACCAGGGCCCATAGCAAACTATTCCCTTTACAGTGCACTACTTTTGACCAGGGCCCATAGCAAACTATTCCCTATATAGTGCACTACGTTTGACCAGGGCCCATAGCAAACTATTCCCTATATAGTGCACTACGTTTGACCAGGGCCCATAGCAAACTATTCTATATACAGTGCACTACGTTTGACCTTGGCCCATAGCAAACTATTCCCTTTACAGTGCACTACTTTTGACCAGGGCCCATAGCAAACTATTCCCTATATAGTGCACTACGTTTGACCAGGGCCCATAGCAAACTATTCCCTATACAGTGCACTACTTTTGACCAGGGCCCATAGCAAACTATTCCCTATACAGTGCACTACTTTTGACCAGGGCCCATAGCAAACTATTCCCTATACAGTGCACTACGTTTGACCAGGGCCCATAGCAAACTATTCCCTTTACAGTGCACTACTTTTGACCAGGGCCCATAGCAAACTATTCCCTATATAGTGCACTACGTTTGACCAGGGCCCATAGCAAACTATTCCCTATACAGTGCACTACTTTAGACCAGGTCCCATAGCAAACTCTTCCCTATATAGTGCACTACTTTTGACCAGGGGCCATAGGGCCCCATTTGGGACACACATATGTGTCACAGTCAGTGTTGACAGTTCTGTGAGTCCCTCAGGCTACATGTCTGCTAATAGTAACAGTATATAAATTTCAGTATGTTCTCTTTATCCTATAGTTGCATGTCCGGCTACATCAACAACACCCTGTCCATATTGCACATGAACGACCAGAGAATCTACAAGGAGTTCTCACCGGACCAGATGGTGACGCCCGGCGGACAGAATGTCTCCTACTGCAGGTTCATACCCCTTACCAGCCCCTAATCATCCCGAAATGATGTCCATGTTGTCCGTTTTAAACATGGATATTCCAGATGCATAAGTATTATTTCTGAAATTGAATGAAACAAGGAAAGGTATTCAACATGGAAGCAAAAGTTGTTCCTTTATACTAGGAAATGAGTGATAATTTATGATGGAATAACTTTTGTTTGCATGTATTTAATACTTGTCCTTACTTCATTCCATTGATCCCCTGGAATATCCTTCCAGGATTCTCTGCTTAGTCGTTGATTTGGGATTTGAATGTCTGTTTTCTCACTCTCTCACCAGTTATAAAGATTATAGAAGTAATGAAGACTACAGTTTCACTCCACAGTTCTGGCTCATCTTAGCCATGCGCTTCGCTTTTGTCATCCTGTTTGAGGTAAGCTAGAAATATTTAGCTCAAATAATTTATAGACCATTTCTTGTCTTGACTCACAGTAAAATTTAGCGAAGTAACTTTGCCATTTACTTGATAGTTGATACGTTGACATTTGAAAATGGATTATTTCCAATTGAATATTATTAACTCAATTGAATATTATTAACTTAATTGAATATGATTAACTTAATTGAATATGATTAACTTAATTGAATATTATTAACTTAATTGAATATTATTAACTTAATTGAATATTGTTAACTTAATGTTGATGTTTTTTCTTCCCTCCCTCTCCTCATAATCTCTGTGTACAGCATGTGGTGGTCATATGTAAATTCATCACCGCCTGGTTTGTTCCCAGCGTTCCCTTGTATGTCAAGAATCTCAGGCTCTTTGATAAACTCAACAGGTTGAAGGAAGAGCTCAGGTAGGGGGTTTTTCAAAGGGAGTGGATATTACTGGAAACTTTCAAAGTTTACCAATAAACTACCAGAATGATGGTATCTTTCAAAGGTTTTTTATGTAATCTAGCACAAGACATCTAGTGGCCCTTTTGGGTACTTCAGAGTACCACAGGTGTCTGTAATTATCTCTGGCCCTCTGTGTGGCCTTATCACGTGTATAATATATGAAACCATTTTATACGATTTTTTTTTTTTTTTTAAACAATAGAATGACAAAGCTGTAATGTTTTACAATCCTAAATACAAACCATCAACTTAGTGAATACCATTGGTGTTTAATATGAGGGTTTCAGCATGAAATATCACTTTTATACACTTATTTATTTAACTATGTCAGTATGTATTTGTTGCCAATGCTTTGGCGTCAAACTGGTTGGGAAAAAAATCAAAAGTTAGAAGAGTTTCAGAGTTAATTGAAAATAATGGCATTGTTGATTCATGCTTTTTTCATTAATTCGGCTATTTTCTCTTGAACCATATGGGCTATCTACTAGAAACTCATAGACATTATGGGAACAGATGTAAAAAATGAATACTATATATTAATACATTTTGTAAAAGTTATTTAAGTATAAATTACCAAAGTTAAGATAGATTGCCATATATTTTCTGTTAATTAGCAAAATGACAGAAGATTCCGGTAACTTTGGTAAATTACCGGTAGCTCCGCAGCTTAATTAGCAAAATGACAGAAGATTCCGGTAACTTTGGTAAATTACCGGTAGCTCCGCAGCTTAATTAGCAAAATGACAGAAGATTCCGGTAACTTTGGTAAATTACCGGTAGCTCCGCAGCTTAATTAGCAAAATGACAGAAGATTCCGGTAACTTTGGTAAATTACCGGTAGTTCAGCAGCTTAATTAGCAAAATGACAGAAGATTCCAGTAACATTGGTAAATTACCGGTAGTTCAGCAGCTTAATTAGCAAAATGACAGAAGATTCCGGTAACTTTGGTAAATTACCGGTAGTTCTGCAGCTTAATTAGCAAAATGACAGAAGATTCCGGTAACTCTGCAGCCCTAAGCTCAGGTAAGCTGATACTATAGACATGTCTGGTAACAAAAAAGAACCTGCAGGGTCAGTAAATAGATGTTTTAATGTTTTTAGAGTTTTCAATTGAAATGATACGTCTATTAGTGCCTATATCGAGCATTTTAATACACTATGCATAGCTCATAAGGCATTATAAATGTGCTTTAAATGCATTCTGAAGAGGATATTCATAGGAAGTCTTACCCTATATCCTTTTGTCAAATTCAGCATTTGCTATTGCTAAATGTCTAATTCCCGTCTCATATTGTTCAAAATGAAAGAATGTGCTTGTGGTTCTTACAGGTCATCGAAGGTATGACATCGTCACAGTGTTTGGAGCAGTCTAACACAGTATCCACTCGGATGTGACTGATTACCAGCGCTATGGAGGACATGCGGAGAGAGAGAGAGAGAGAGGGAGTGCTTATCGCCTGGGTTTTATTGGTTTTGTATTTGTTGTTTTGTGTCAGATGATGTCAGAATGCTGGACATATGACTTCTGACCCTAGATATAGTTACCGTTTCTTATGAGAGAAAAATATTGTCTTAATGTAAAAGGACATATGACTTCTGACCCTAGATATAGTTATAGTTCATGTAAAAGGAAAACACTTCTAGATGTTGCTATTTGTTATGTTTCGTGAAGTTGCACTGTGTGTTTTTGTTGTTAAATCATCTTGTTTACCGTTCTGTACAGGCATGTTGTGGCATGGTATTGCATCACAGTGGTATGTTATGTTTTAAGTGAGATACTTGTGTTTGTAAACTGTGGACAGGAAATGTAATATATTATTTTAAACACTGAGATATGCTTCGCGTTATAAGACATAACACATTCACTTTAACTTAACGAAAGTGACACTTAAGAGACATTGTTATTAATGTGCTACCAATGACCTATATTACTTTGTATTGTACCTGGATGGATGGGGGGGGGCGGAGTCATGAAATAAACTACAGTAAGGACTGTAAACTCGGTCACATGACTTTTTTTTATATACGGTATGTTCATCGCTTCTGATCCAATGTAACTTGATAATTGTCCTAATTAAAAAAACCCTGTTCAGACTCAGCGTTCATTGTGAGGACTGTTGAAAAAAGGTAAGCAGATAGCCTACTTCTGAAAGTTTCCGCAAACAGGTGCAGGTTGACTTTATTGTCATGAATCTGCTGCATAAGTTGGCTATAGGCCAATCCTAAAAATGTAAGATTTTTTCTTTTGTTGCTTTTTGGTCTTAATTTAAAGTTAGGGTTAGCAGTGTGGTAAAGGGTTAAGGTTGGATTTTCTGACTTTGTGGCAGGTAGCTTAGTGGTCAAGAGCGTTGTGCCAGTAACCGAAAGGTCGCTGGTTCTAATCCCCGAGCCGACTAGGTGAAAAATCTGTCGATGTGCCCTTGAGCAAGGCACTTAACCCTAATTGCTCCTGTAAGTCGCTCTGGATAAGAGCGTCTGCTAAATGACTTATTATTATAAGAGCTGCCTCCAGTACGTGAGTCATGACAATAAATGCTAACCTTGCTAAAAGGTGAGACGTCACGTGACAACAAGTACAGGATCCGCAAGTAATTCTAGCAGCTGGACCGAAAGTCAAGCCTTGGAGTTATTCATCCACAGGAGGAGCTGGATGATATATGATTTCATCCTAGCGCGCGCCTTGATTTTGAAAGCGCAAATGAAAAAATAAAAGAGAACAAAATACTTCAAATGATTTGTGCTTCCAATTTGGTGACGTTCACTCTGGCACGTACCCAGACAGCGTCTCGCCGACGTCGGCCCGATGTGGTATGGAGAGCGTTTGCACATCGCCAGTGGTGGAAAAAAGTACCCAATTGTCATACTTGAGTAAAAGTAAAGATACCTTAATAGAAAATGACTCAAGTAAAAGTGAAAGTCACCCAGTAAAAAACTACTACTTAAGTAAAAGTCTAAAAGTATTTTGTTTTTTAATATACTTAAGTATCAAAAGTAAATGTAATTGCTAAAATATACTTAGAGTTGAAGTCGGAAGTTTACATACACCTTAGCCAAATACATTTATATAATTCCTGACATTTAATCATAGTACAAATTCCCTGTCTTAGGTCAGTTAGGATCACCACTTTATTTTAAGAATGTGAAATGTCAGAATAATAGTAGAGAGAATGATTTATTTCAGCTTTTATTTATTTCATCACATTCCCAGTGGGTCAGAAGTTTACATACACTCAATTAGTATTGCCTTTAAATTGTTTAACTTGGGTAAAACGTTTCGGCTAGCCTTCCACAAGCTTCCCACAATAAGTTGGGTGAATTTTGGCCCATTCCTCCTGGCAGAGCTGGTGTAACTGAGTCAGGTTTGTAGGCCTCCTTGCTCGCACACGCTTTTTCAGTTCTTCCCACAAATGTTCTATAGGATTGAGGTCAGGGCTTTGTGATGGCCACTGCAATACCTTGACTTTGTTGTCCTTAAGCCATTTTGCCACAACTTTGGAAGTATGCTTGGGGTCATTGTCTATTTGGAAGACCCATTTGCGACCAAGCTTTAACTTCCTGACTGATGTCTTGAGATGTTGCTTCAATATATCCACATAATTTTCCTTCCTCATGATGCCATCTATTTTGTGAAGTGCACCAGTCCCTCCTGCAGCAAAGCACCCCCACAGCATGATGCTGCCACCCCCGTGCTTCACAGTTGGGATGGTGTTCTTTGGCTTGCAAGCATTCCACTTTTTCCTCCAAACATAATGATGGTCATTATGGCCAAACAGTTCTATTTTTGTTTCATCAGACCAGAGGACATTTCTCAAAAAAGTACAATCTTTGTCCCCATGTGCAGTTGCAAACCATAGTCTGGTTTTTCTATGGCGGTTTTGGAGCAGTGGCTTCTTCCTTGCTGAGCGGCCTTTCAGGTTATGTCAATATAGGACTCATTTTACTGTGGATATAGATACTTTTTGTACCTGTTTCCTCCATGATAGAAGCATTTAAATGTTTAAAGTAATGACTAAAGTATTCTACCCCGAAACTGTATAACTGTGTGAAATGTGTTAGAATCATAAGACTATAATCTGATGATGTGTGTAGCTTAGTTAGACTTAGAAATAGGACCTTGTGGTCTTTTGCAGCTATGCATGCAGGGGTTGGATGGGAAACCAGATGTCCCCACCTAGGGAGGGGAAGCGAGAGGCTTGTAGATGTGATAACCATGTAGAGGCCTAATGGAAAAATATAGCCCGCCTAAGCAGGGAGTAGCCTACGATAAGAACTTGTGTGTGTGAATAAAAGGACTTGCTCTGCACTTTGGGGGCAGAGCGCTCTCTGAATAAAAGACTGATCTATTGCAGACTGGGACTTTGTTTAATTCTTTGTTAACCAGAACCTTACAACCTCTGGGAATTATTCAAAGCTGGAGTGAAAGTTGAGTTCAACCATTGAGATAACAAAATTTTCGTGACACTCCAGCATCTTCACAAGGTCCTTTGCTGTTGTTCTGGGATTGATTTTCACTTTTCGCACCAAAGTACGTTTACATTTACATTTACATTTTAGTCATTTAGCAGACGCTCTTATCCAGAGCGACTTACAGGAGCAATTAGGGTTAAGTGCCTTGCTCAAGGGCACATTTACGTCATTTAGCAGACGCTCTTATCCAGAACGACTCACCAATTGGTGCGTTCACCCTATAGCCAGTGGGATAACCACTTTACGTTCATCTCTAGGAGACAGAACGCGTCTCCTTCCTGAGCGGTATGACGGCTGCGTGGTCCCATGGTGTTTATACTTGCGTACTATTGTTTGTACAGATGAACATGGTACCTTCAGGCATTTGGAAATTGCTCCCAAGGATGAACCAGAATTGTGGAGGTTTACAAAAAAAATTCTGAGGTCATGGCTGATTTCTTTTGATTTTCCCGTGATGTCAAGCAAAGAGGCACTGAGTTTGAAGGTAGGCCTTGAAATACATCCACAGGTACACCTCTAATTGGTTTAAATTATGTCAATTAGCCTATCAGAAGCTTCTAAAGCATGACATCATTTTCTGGAATTTTCCAATCTGTTTAAAGGCACAGTCAACTTAGTGTATTTCAACTTCTGACCCACTGGAATTGTGATACAGTGAATTATAAGTGAAATAATCTGTCTGTAAACAATTGTTGGAAAAATTACTTGTGTCATGCACAAAACTATAGTTTGTTAACAAGAAATGTGTGTAGTGGTTGAAAAACGAGTTTGAATGATTCCAACCTAAGTGTATGTAAACTTCCGACCTATATTAAGCAAACCCGACGGCACCATTTTATTTATTTATTTTAAAAACGGAAAGTCAGGGACTCCAACACTTACATAATTTACAAATGAAGCATGTGTGTTTAGTGAGTCAGATCAGAGGCAGTAGGGATGACCAGGGATGTTCTCTTGATGAGCGCTTGAATTGGAATCCATACATTTTCCTGTCCTGCTGAGTATTCAAAATGTAACGAGTACTTTTGGGTGTCATGGACAATGTATGGAGTAAAAAGTACATAATTTTCTTTAGGAGTGTAGTGAAGTAAAAGTAAAAGTAGTCAAAAATATCAATAGTGAAGTAAAGTAAAGTACAGATACCCCAAAATATTACTTAACCCTCGTGTTGTCCTCCCAAATGCCTTACGCCTTTTGTCCTCTGGGGTCAAAAATGACCCCGCCTGGTTTGACTGTTTATAAAGCATACAGTATACATTTTCAATCAATTCTGTGTTACATCTTTAGTCTTACTTCTGTTCAACCCATTACTAGAATTTTTGTCATTTGTTTTGGAATTTAGAGCCAATAGACCTTGTTTACATAAAAGTATACCCTGTTTTTAAGTAAAAATACAATGAAACTATGAAATATTTTGACCTATTATTATTTTGACTATTTGACTTATCACTGAGTGGTATTTGTAAAAGTTTAGTGAGGATGCTGTTTTTGAATCATTTTATTTTTATTAATGACAGCCCATAATCACACCTTTTGTCCTCTGGGGTCAAAAATGACCCCGCCTGGTTTGACTGTTTATAAAGCATACAGTATACATTTTCAATCAATTATGTGTTACATCTTTAGTCTTACTTCTGTTCAACCCATTACTAGAATTTTTGTCATTTGTTTTGGAATTTAGAGCCAATAGACCTTGTTTACATAAAAGTATACCCTGTTTTTAAGTAAAAATACAATGAAACTATGAAATATTTTGACCTATTATTATTTTGACTATTTGACTTATCACTGAGTGGTATTTGTAAAAGTTTAGTGAGGATGCTGTTTTTGAATCATTTTATTTTTATTAATGACAGCCCATAATCACACCTTTTGTCCTCTGGCGTCAAAAATGACCCCGCCTGGTTTGACTGTTTTATAAAGCATACAGTATACATTTTCAATCAATTCTGTGTTACATCTTTAGTCTGAAAATAACGTTAGTTGTTTAATACTATGCTCTTTATGATTCAAACAAATTTGAAGTAATTTGATTGAATTATGGGTGTTTTTACTAAATGTA